AGATTAAATTAATACCGAAATTTATTTCAGAATAAATACGATATTAGAATAAATGGAATAATGAAAGTAGAGGATAAGATACTTAAAAGGAGAATAAAAAAATGAGATTCGATGAATTTGTTGAAGAAAGAAAATATATTCGGATTAGTTGAAAATCCAAAAAGTTATGGCCCAAAATATGGCTCCGGGACTCGACCGGCGGGACTCGATGATCCCTTCCCAGAATTTGCAACACGGACACTTTGCCGCCACTAAATAGGTATTAAAATTACACTACTATACCGTAAATCTTCTAATAAAAGCACAGTGCTTCTATTTTTCGATCCCCTTGTAGGGTGTGCTTATATTGGAGACTGTGCTTCAATTGGAGACTGTGCTTGTATTTTTCGATCTATTTTTCAATTTTTCGAAGAAAATTTTTACCCAACATAAAAAACAAAAATTAAATTTCAATTGAATTTATAAAGTTCCATTTAATTTTTCAACCAACCAGCTTTATAAATTTTTTTCCTTCAAAAATTTTCACCTTCCGAGCTGAAGAAACAAGCACTGATCTCATGTAGCCGGACCCTTTTATCCACTAAAATCTTCTTATATCCTTTGATACTTCTCTAAATCCAACCAACTATATCCCTCTTGATGTCCCTCAACAACCCTTATTGTAGGTCTTGAGTGAATGTTTTTCTCAAGTTTCCGAAATTTTGAGGTATAGGGCAGGGAATGGTCGCTGACCCAGTGGGCGTAGGTCGCAGACCCAGTGGGCAGACCCAGTGGGCGGATATGGATCTAAAAAAATCCGGATATTCCGGATTTTAATACGGGAAATCCGAACCGGACTAAGAAATTTTGAATCATTTTTCAAACGTCAAAACCTAATATAAAGCAAAAATGATACCTATGTGCTTTTTCAGCGGTATAATAGGGGTGTGCTTATATTAGAGGGTGTGCTTCAATTAGAGGCTGTGCTTCTATTTTTCGATTCTCTCATAGGGTGTGCTTATATTAGAGGGTGTGCTTCAAATAGAGGTGTGCTTCTATTAGAAGATTTACGGTATTTCAAATACCAAAATCATTCACATTTATAAAAGGATCAAATTTTAATACATATTTTGTCTGATCCCTTTCTGAATCATAATATGAAATATTTAAGAGAAAGAGAAAATATATTTAAGTACCTATTTTCAATTTTATTAATGTTCATGCGCGAGTCAATTTTTTTAATAAATATATAAGTAGGATCACAAACCCGTGCGAACAGCTGGAGTATTACAAAAACATTTTTATGAAAATTTACTTCGTTTAAAATAATCCTATCTTACTGATTTTGGTATCAATCGACTCGGCGAGTTTTACTAAATATCCTGTATTTATGTATTTTACTGCATTTTTTTAAATTCTGCCTAAGAAATTTAGTAGAACTGCCGTATCTCGGTTTATTGACGAGATAGCGGACTTGTTTTTGACATCATTCGAATGAGTTTGAAGACTGATTCGAATAGTGTTAAACTTGTTTATACTAAAACCTTAGCCTTAAATATAAGCCTAATTTTATCAAAATATTGCCTAAAGAGCGAAAATTAATCGGATTAAATTATAAATAGACAGAAGTTATTTTGAATCAAAAAGTTGGCTAAAGTGTTGTGAATTGTATAAAAAAAGAATTATCAATTTTTGTTGAAATATTAAAAACAAATCGCGCGCCTAATTTTCCTCGCCCCTTATTATTTAGATGTAAAAAAGATAAAAAAAAATTGAAGAAAATAGTAAGAGTAAAAAAAAGATTGATAGCAAACGAATTTTATTTTTACAACATACCAGAGGCACAAAAACGTTATCTTTTTCCAAATTCTAATTTAAAATGATGATAAGGCAATTTTGGTTTAAAAAGACAAAATGACTAATGAAATAATATTTAAAAGAAATTAAATTGAAATCATTCAGTTGTTGTTGTTTATATTTTTAAGTCTAAAATTGATGTTAAAAAATTAAGATTTTTTGTGATATTTTTTATATGTTAATGCTGGAAACAGTCACAAAAAGGGATAATCATATTTAAAATTAGAAGAATAAGTTTGGGGATATTTATATAGTATTTGTTGGGAGTATCTTATAGTGTGCCCCAATAACGTTTGCTCCTTATCAAGCAGAGGTGGGTTGGAATTCCAATTTCCTACGTTTTTTTCCTTCCGATTCCCGAAAAAATTTTGATTTCCGATTTCCGAGTTCCGACTTTTGAGCCAGTTCCGATTTCCGGCTCTTCCGATTTCCGACACCTCTGACTGTTCACCCACCTCTGCTATCAAGCAAATGATTATCTCGTTGTTAATATTTTAGCGGAAAAAGGATAAAAATCAAATAAAAGCAAGAAATCTCTCTCAGATTTTACAAATTAATCAATTTCTAACCGTTAAAGTATTTTTGTCTGTTTTTAAAGTTTAAAAAGAAGGAAACATAAAAAATTTATTTTTATTTTTTAACTGCGTCAGCTGCTACTAAAAATAAAAAATACTTTAATAGTATACATTTTGATCGGTCATTGACTTGAGAGTGTTTTCTGGACAACTTTTAATAAATAGATACGGGTTGGGGTCTTTTTGGCGTTGCCTTAATGCGCGGATAAAAGAAAATTGGAAATCCAGAATTGAAAATCAGAATAAAAATCAGAATTGAGAAAAAACATCTCGCGAGCTTACGCTCGCCGGTCACGCCTTTATGAGCCGCATCAAAACGTTCAATAGATGTTAGTAGAAACAGATGATAAACAGATGTACTACTTTGTTCTGAAAAATTGGGACAATTTATAGATTAAAAAGTGAAGAGAAAACAAATTGTGGTAGTAAATGTGGAGGAGATTTGAAAGTTGTTTCGAGAGAATAAAATTTTTTAATTGAGAAAAACCTAAAGTAATTCAAGTGCCACCAATAAGACTGGATATATAAATGTTCATTCTTAATATGTATCAATAAGGAGTTTTGTCCGATGTGTTAATAAAAGGTATCCTATAAAAATTTAATGAAATTAAAGGAAAAATCTCTAAACAATTTAAAGGAGATTTGCAAAAATAAGGTTTATCTACAAGACAGAAACAAGTATGTACATACATATTTTTCTTAAATTTTTTTTTATTTTTTTTTTAATTTTCCACATTTTTTCCATCTTTCAATTGCGGCATTTATTTTGAAAGGTTTGAAAAAAATTGGAAATCGACTACTTCTACTACTACATACAAGTATTTTCAACGAATCATAAAAATACTAATAGTGGGCCATTATGAAAAGAGAGGAGAAAGCTAAATAAAAGAGAAGAATGAAAAGAAAAATAAAAAGAAAAATAAAGGCGGACTGGCTCTAAAATGCTTTTTTATACAACTAGAGCAGCCTAGTGGCAATAATATGTACATGAATATAACTACTAAAAAGGCTACAAAAAATATTTATATAAAAACCCTTTCTTTCTCTTTTTTGCTTCTGAATTCCCTTAGAAATTAACATATGTATTTTTATATGTCGCAATGCTGAAGCTGACAATGAAAAGCGCGGTTTTTGCATGCCAAGAATTGTATGGCACTGCCCAAATGGTTATCAAACAACTTTTACTTTTTTGTGTTCAAAGAGAAGATTGAGAAAGATAAAAGTCCTATAAAGAGAGAATAAGGCGCCTCAAAATGGTATTTGGACAAAATAATACTGGGGACAAAATTGCTAGTCTAGTACCATTTTGTTTTAACCAAGTGTGTCAAACAGAGAAAAACGTAAAAAGAAAATGTAAGTCAAGGAAAAAATAAAAAAAGAATAACAAAACAAAACATAACTCTAACAATGTTTTGTATCTAAAACAACAATAGTGCATTAAAAAGGTGGGCCAAAATGGAAAGAGAGAGGGAAGGAGTGTTTGACGTCAGCGATTGAGACTGACTAAATGAAAGAATTAAAATGGATATGTAATACTGTCTTTGTCTTTAGATTAAAGCCGTTTTTTCTTGATATAAAAATTAGACAAATATCACAACCCCATGGAAATTTTGGGGAATAATTTTTATTTTTTTTTGGCTACTAATCGTGCAACTTTTGTTTGCCCCAGTGGAAGTGCGGGTGTCAATAAAAGTGTTTGCTTATTCCAATTCAGGTTTAGTTTTGTCCGCAAATGTCAGTCAGCCCAAAACTAAAGTCATTGTTCCACACAGCTACAAAAATAGTTACAACAAAAACCGGAAGTAGCAAAATTATCTCCATATGTAATGAAGCTTGATATAATTTTTGGTATGAGATTTTTAACATTAATTCCCAAATAAAGAGAATTCTCACATTTTAGGCAATTTAAAAGAATTCTAATTTTTATTTTCAGTTATTTAGAAAATGTGAAAAATTAAAAAGAAAAAAATAAGGAAACCTTTAAATAGAAAATAATTAACAAAAAATACAATATTTTTTAATAAAAAAATAGAAGCTAATTGTTGCTTTTATGTAATTTACTGGAAGTAAATCTACATGGGGCCAACTTGAGGCCAAACATTATTTTATCTATTAGATAGGGCAATTAACTGGGCCAGGGCAATTAATAAAGTAAATACAGAATTTGCTAGAAATATTTTAAGAACATGCCCAAAAGGAGTAAAAATCTTAATTTGCTTAATACCCCCAAAAGTATCAATCATAACTTGTTCAAAAATCTCAAAACCTCGCCAATTCTTATACGAATCGAATTAGCTCGTCGAGCTGTATCGAATGAGATATTATGCCTTTATCACACCAAGACAGGTTTAAAGTCAGGGACTTTTAAACTTTTTTAGCTAACATTCATGAAAAACTGCAAGTACAAGAATAATACAAAAAAGTTCAAAATAACGGTCCAATCCTTTTTTTGAACATTCTACTTTGTGCCGAAATTGCAGAAAAAAGTTATTTGACTAAAAATCCGGACTTTATACTAATCAGAATCTAATTGTTTAAATTTCAAAAAAACATTTTAATTAAATCTCTTTTAAAAAATTTTTTTAAAGGTTTCCATATGTACTTTATTTTGCTAATAATATGCTTGCTATTAAAAAAAGAGCAAGCAGTAAATAAAAAGAAGCCTTGGAAAAAGAGAATTGGACGAATTAAAAAAAACAAAATCGATGAAAACCAGAAATGGGTCAGAGCTATTTGGACGAGAAAAAGCCTAAAAATGCACAAAATCTTCTTTTTGGAGACTTTCAAAAAAGAGAGTGAGGAGGGAGGAGGGGAGGGGAGGGAGGGGGAGGAGGGTATGGGAAATAAAAGTAGAAAATGAAAAATGGACAGAAAAATGGCAAAAAATGGAGGAGGAATGGGGGGAGGTTTTTTAGTAGAAAAAAAAAGAATAAATGGAAAAATAGTAAAAATATTACTAAAAGGGAAGAGGAAAAAATATTATTAAAGTTGTAAAAAACGAAGGGGGAAATAAATAAAAATATTTAAAGTACCTAAAATTTATTGGCTAAAAGGTAAAAAATTGTATTGAATTAAAGTTTTTTTGAGTTTATTTTTGGGGCTTTTGGGCCGACTTTTAAATAAAAATATTTCTGGGTAAATAATTAAATTAAAATTAGGTAAAATCGAATTTCGATGGGATCTACCCTCGGAGACTGAATTGAGGTTATCATGGAGAAGGAACAGTTGTCTATATATTTTAGAATTAGATAGATTTTAAGTTCCTATTTCATTTTTTATTTTTTTAAATTTTACTTCTTTTTTAAAAAATATCTTTTTATTTTTTTTGGTTATTTTTAAAAATACTATAAGGATTTACCAGATGTGGGAAATTTTCCTGCTGCGAGTCAAAAATGAAATAAACAAAAAACTTTTTGAACACTTTTTAAACAAATATTTTAAAAAATTATTTAAAAAATATTTTCATTATAAAATTAAATTATTGTCGAAAGGAGTGGAACAGTTTTTTGGGTGAGCCTTAAAATAATTGAAATATTTAGTTTTAATTTTTTTAATTAAATATCCAATGAATTTTGATAGTATTTCTAAAGAATTATTTAATTTTAGGAAAATTTGATTTTTTAAACAATCAAAGCCTTAATTAAAATATTTTAAACAAAAAGACCTACTAATAGTCAAATGTTTTCAATACCCCCTCCCCCCAATTAATTATTTCCAATTAATTAAAAAAAATTTTTAAATTTTATTTGTTTTAAAATAAATAAACATTTTATCCCACACTTATTTTTATAAAAAAATTTATTTTTTTGCATGAACAGAAGACGTAAAATTTGAAATTCGAGAAGTAATTGAATGCGAGGGTGGGAAAATAAAATTTAAAAAAAAAGAGAGAATATGGGCCAGAAAAAATTTAAAGAAATTTTTTAAAAATTTATTTTTATCTAAAAAAATTATAAATAAAATACCTGATTATTTTATTTTCTTATTTTATTTTTCTTATCATTTAAAATAGATTTTATCGAAAAAGAATGACGCAAATATTCTTTTATTTTTATTTAATAAATTGTTAGAAAAGTAATTTAAATTTATTTTTATTAAATAAAATTTAATAGAAAAATTAAATTAATTTAAATATAAATTAAATGGTTTTTGGTGATTTTGTGAAATTTAAAGGGGGGTGTTCGAGATTGCAAATCTAGATTTATTAATGAAAATGAAAGCCTAGATCTTTACCTGATGTTACTTAAATATTTTCAATTTCAAAACAAAATTGTCTGTCGAGCAGAAGCTAAATTGTCTGTCAAAGTCGGGATTTGTCAAAGTCGACCACAGAAATATCAGGCAAAATTAGAAAGACAATTTAGGCGAAAGTGGATTAGGCTGGATCAGATAGATAGATCAGAGATTAGCCGGGCTAGTATGATTCGATTAGACTGACGCTGACACAAACTTTTAAATTAACAACACCATTAAACAACAGATCTGTTAGAAATGTTGATGGATTCACACAAATATCAAAAGTCGAATTTCCGTTTTTCTGTTGTCGAGAGCTATTTTTAATACAAATCCTATGCAAAAAAACTTAAAATAAATTTATTTATTATTAATTTATTTTCAATTTCATTAACTAGAATCTTTAAAAAACATTAATAAATTTAAATATACTACATACTTCTTTTTTATTATTTTCTAGACATTTAAATAAATTTACTTTTATTTTTATTTAAGTAAAAAACCAAAATGCAATTTGCCGTGACGAAGAATTTTCAATTTTATTTTATTTTTATTTGAAAAATTCAATGAGCAGTCATAAACAAAATTACAGAAAAATTGCACTTTAAACGTCATATAAAAAAGGAAGCTGAAAATAAAGGGGGAAAGTAAAGAAGTAATTTAAAGAAAAAAATAATTTAAATAAAAAAATATTAATATAATAATTTATCTGTCTCAGATTATTAAGGAGACATAAAAATAAAAAAAATTTTTAGAAAAGTTTAAAGGCATTGATGATCAAAAATTAAAATAAATGTCCTTCAATTCCTCTCGTTAAGCTACTTTCAAATATACATATGTAAAACTTTTTCATAAGAGACAAAAACTCGAAGAGTTCCAGGTTTCAAAACTTAATTTAAAAGAGCTCAATTGGGTCAAACATAATTTGAAAATAAAAAAATCTCAAACAAAATTTATTCCTTATTAAGAGAGAACACAATCGACAAAAGAATAAATTAGAAAAGAATAAATAAAGAAAAATCATTAAATTGGGAAAGGATTGATTGGTCGTGTTTTGGTTAGTAGATAAAATAAATTCTGCGCAAACGGAAAAGGTGAAAAAACAGAAAAAAAATCAGCAGGAAAAATATTTTTTTCTTTTGTTATTTCTTTTGTGCCCTAAGGAAAATATTTTACTGAACAGGCCAGATCAACCAGTCATTGTTGTGAGAGAAAGAAGAACTTGTTAAATTCTCTTCTTCTACCCTTCACTACCTATTAATTCCTTTTTTCTTCTCCTTCCTCTGCGCATCTTTTTCTAATTTTCCAGGCATCTCAGCTGGTTTTTGGTTATTTACATTACCTAAATGATTGTACCTTAAGAATTATTTTTTTCCGTAAAAATAATTTAAAAACCTTCAAAAATAGAAATTAATTTGGTAAACATAAATTTTAATCGATCCTAAAAATTCTAAAAAATTCTTAACATTTTCATCTTTAAGCATGTTTTTTATAAAATTTTGGCATTTTTAAATTTGTTACTGGATGCGGGAATGCCTAATCTATACCTCTCTTTATAAGATAGTCTCATTATGAGATACAAATTTTTTATATTTCATAGTTTAGGTTCGATCATTAATAAAAAAAAGATTGATTAGATTTTGTTCGCCAAATAAATTTACTTGTACTATTTATTATTTTAAATTAATTACCAAAACAGAACCTTTAAAATCTTAAAAAATAAATATATATTAATTCGCCCAACAATTTTTTCCTTTTCATCTTCTTCATTTTATAATTCATGCATTTTCTCTCTAAATTCAGAAAATATTAAGTTAATTATAAAATGTAATGGCCAAAAATTAACAGTTTATTTTTAGAAATTTCTATTTAAAATTAACTCAAAGGACAATATGGAATCCTTTTGATAGGGCGATTTTTAAATGGAAATCGTTATCCAATTTATTGGATTTATATATCAGATTATTTATCTGATTGACCAGGAAAATTTTCGGATGTCTAGAAATGAAATGAAAATTTTGAGGGAAAGCAGTCTTAGTTTTTTTCTGAAATTCCCCGAACCAACAACCCTTAACGAGAATTGGGAGGTGGGATAGGGAGAAGGACATATGTAGCCTTCTCCTCAGTCTGTAACTTTAACCATTTCCCACCTTAAAAATAATTTTAATTAAAATAATAAATTTCTTTATTTTATTTAAAAGTACTTTTAATAAACTAATTTTGTAGACAAGTTTTAATTTTAAATATTTTATTACAATTTACATTTTAATTTTAAAATATTAGAATAACAATTAATAAATACTTCCTTTTTAAATTTAAAAATTTAATTTTTTTATTTACATTTTTTAAACTTAAAACTTCATTTATAATTAATCAACCATTCTTATTAGAAATTTTTTTAGTTAATTAATTAATTTTACATTCAAATTTATTTTAAGAGATTTTTTTAAATGTGATTATTTACTTGTGTGGAAGGGAACTGTCTAAACAATACCTCCTATTTAACATAACTCATTATAAGATACGATTTTTCCGTCCATAAGGTAAGGTTGTCGGTTCCGGGTTTCCGGAACCAACAACCCCGAATATCTGGAAATTCGGTTCCGGTTCCGGATATCAGAAGATTTCCCAGGACCGCCAACCTTACCATAAGGGTGTATTTTCCATTGAGGTTCAACTGCGAAATGCTGATAATTATTGTTTTGTTAAATTTATTATAATTTAATTTTAAAATTTTTAAAACAAAATTAGTTTAAAAAATGAGATTAAAAATTATTTTATTTTTATTCATTAATTATTTAAATAAATATAATAATGCTCAAGAAGGTGCCTTTAGAAAGAATTATATTGTAGAGAAAAATCAAACTTGGAACGGACATTTTTATATTTTACGTGATGAACAACCTTTCTTTAGAGTTTTTCATGAAACACATAGAAAGGTAAAAATAAAAAAAAATTTTAGATAAATATATTTTAATATTTATTTAAAAAAATAATTATCATTTTTTTGTAAATTTATGAAATAATTAGGCTGACAGGCCGCCAGACTATATACCAACATCTATGAAAACACCTATGAATAAAGTTAAGTTGTAAAGATTGCTGTGTTTTTCTTTCAGATTTTTTAAATAAAAATGGGATGGTAATCAGAAATTGTTAATTGATAATAGAAGAGTTACCTTTTTCTTTCAACCGAAAAAATCATTTTCCGCTCAAAATACTTTTGATGTTCTCATTTATGATAACAAACAAAGAAGGGATTAAATTAATTTAATTAGGTATTCCGTGATAATCCAAATGCGGGTAGAATGTCTAACGAACCCCCCTCAATAGATGCTCAATTAATGGAAGAACACGGAAGTGATCAACGTTTGAGGTAATTAATTTACATAAACAAGACCTGGAATAAAATAATTGTAATTCTATCTGTACCGATTAACCCTTGTAACGTTTTGTCTATAGAATAACTCTATGGTTTTAAGTTTGTCAGGAAAGGTTTAAATTTGTGAGAGATCGAAGGCTGCCCTTGGGAGTCAGTGAGCGGTATTAGAAAGTGAACCAGATATGTATCACCTCTAATTTAGCCAAAAAATAATTATTTATTTATTTAAAAGAGAGGCTGCTCAATTTTGGCATGAACATAATCAAAAATTAATACATAATCAAACAAATAATCAACAAGAAAAACACTTAGAACATAATTATCCTTTTCAAAGACGAATTAAACGTGCAGAAAAATCACAAAATAATAATTTAATAAAAGACGATTCAAAAACTTTAAACGAATTAGAAATATTAACAAAATCCTTAAATTCCCAACAAAGAAAATGGATGAAAGCTGCATTAAATGAAATAATGAAGGAAGGAGGAGGAGAGGGAGGGAAACAAAATAATGAAGATAATATACAAGATAATTCTATGGTTTTAACCGTTATTGAAAGAAATCAAAACAAGTAAGGAAAGGAGGGGAGGGGGGGGCGTATTTGATAATTCTAATAAGGGATTTCGCTAAAATAAAAATATTCGAATAATTAATAATAATTTATGTTACACTAAAATTCAAAAATAATGAAATTTTATTATATATGTATTTAATTATTAAAGATCCGAAGCTAAATTTGGCCATCACCATTTACCCGCTGGAGAACAAAAAGATTCAGCTACATGGCCATGGCAACTTTGGCCTTTTATGCATTGCTTAACTTTAGAATGTATTTGCCCTTTATTTAGAGGTTTTTGGGAAAGAAAAATTTAAAGAAAAATTCAAAAATTTATAGGAGACGTTTCTGGTAACCAATGTATTTTACCTAATGGAAAACCTTTACAAAGAGCAATTCGAAAAGAATTTCGAACTTTTAATCCTGAAGAAATGGCTTTGTTTTTGGAGACTATGAGAAGATTTAAAAAGAGTGGATATTACTCTCGTTTGGGTAAAAAATAATTTAATTTTAATTAAATGTCTTATCTCTCCAAAACAGATTTAAAATAAATTTTCCACTTTTTCACATTCCCAACTTTTAAATTAAAATATTTTGAAGTTTTTAATTTTATAAATTCTAATTCCTCTATACAATTAATTATTTTCACAGGAATGATTCACCGAAGATCAGGTGTCCATTCAGGTCCTTCCTTCTTTCCGTGGCACAGAGAATTTCTTAAAAGGTATTTGAATATAATTAAATTAATTTATTTTTAAATTTTAGATTAGAAATTGTTTATCGTTCTTTTCACCCTGAAAACACAGTAAATTAATAATTTAAATAAAAATTCAAACTCTTCTTTAGGACCCAGTACTTGGACTTCCTTACTGGGACAGCTCTTTGGATGGGGGTAAATAAATATTAAGAGAAACATTCTTTTTTCTTTTTTAGGGCTTCCTGCACCGGAAGATTCAATTATGTTTAGTGATTATGTATTAAATATTTTTTATATTTAAATTTAATTTTTTCTTATAAAGTTGCTTGGTGAAGCAGACGATTTTGGTTTTGTGACAAACGGGCTTTTTGCTAATTGGACAACTATGGATGTAAATATATCAGAATTTTAAATATTCAAAATTCTGATTACAAAAATATCAGAATTAAAAAACAGAATTATTAATTTTAAATCAATCAGAATTTTGTTTTAATAATTCTGATATTTTTATTTAAAGGGAAGACATTCATTTCAACGAATGTTTGGAGATCAGGAAGACGGTAGAAATAAATAAATTCTCTCAAACATTTTGTAAAATTTTTAAAGGTGAATTTTTCAATGAAGGCAGAATTGATTATGTGCTTTCACAAACTAGTGTAGATAAAGTTTTGACATATTCTTTACCTTTACATGTAAAAATAAATTTTAAGAAAATTAAAACAAAATATTTTTTATAGACTTGTGTTAATTATGAATTAGATGACCGTTTTCTTGAATATTCACATGATTATGTTCATTATTTTATTAGTGGAGATATGCAGGAACGTTTCAGTTCAAGCAATGATCCTATCTTCTTTATGCATCATGGTCTTTAAATTTATTATCAATTTATATCTAAAATACAGTCAAATTAATTGGGAAAGGAGAGGGGCAAATAAAATTTAAAGTGGTACGCTGAGATCCGGTACGCTGAGAGAGCTAATTCTAATTTTGCGTCCTATCATTGTTAAATTCAGATAGTTGAGCTGCATCGAATCATGCTATGGCTCCAAAAATTTTAACCGAGGTCATAGTAAAGCGATTAGATGATCGTTTTCTTGAATAATCTCTTTAGTATGGTACCTCTCACATTAACTTCTTAAATGTCAACTTAATTCTAAGAGATTCCACTATTATACCTTTTCAAAACATCCTGATCATAAGATATCTAGGATAGTAATGCCTAACCATACCTACTAGTATTTATATTTTTGAAGGTTTTGTTGACTCAGTTTGGGAAATGTGGAGACAAAAAAGACAAACCAGATTTCAGCGAGAACGTGACTATCCACGGGATGATGGGGAATGTATGCCAGAATGGCACTTTTCTGATGCCTTTATGCCAATGCTGCAACCTTTACGAAATCTGGGTTTTTAAATTATTTTTCTTTTGAAAATTTAAAAATTAATTTTATAAAATAGATGCCCTTTCTAATAATTATACCGATAATATGTATGAGTATGCTAAAAGGCCTTCCTGTCCTAATGGAGACTCAGAGGAATGTGGAAATACAAAGTAGGTTTAATTAAGGAAAAGTATCTGACTATTACTAGTTTGGACTCACTACAAAATATACCTCTGGGCTGAATAATCTTATTTTATAATGAGGGTATTTTAAATTAAGGGTATTGCTTAAGCTAAAATTGAATTTTATCCTTTTGGTGTGAGTTCTGACATTTATTTTTCCTAAAATCTAGATTTCTTTGGTGTGATCTAAAAACAAATATTGGGCACCCAGTTTGTTTAGCTAAAGTTAAGCCTGGTGGAAATTGTAAAGGATTTGAATGGTCTACTGAAATTTGTTATAATGGACAGTGTTTAGAAGGACGGTGTACTCGGGTACTTGAACAACAAAATAAAAAATATTCAAAATATGAAAAACAACAAAAACAAATTGATAAAGTTTATGAACATTGGCACACAGAAAGTTTTATGAGACGATAAATTTCATAATACATACATACATATCTTCAATATTTTGTAGTAACATTTTTATTTTCCCTTGCCATTCGTTAAAAACAAAATTTTGTATCAATCGGGTAAATAAAATTTTGTAGTGATAAATACTTCCATTAATTGGATTAAATATTTAAAAAAGGATAAAAAAAGAAATTGTTATTATTGAATGAAATTAGTAATCTGAAGTCTAATTTTAGAAATATCTGAAGGTATAAATTCAATAAATTGGCATTATACAAATGAACAATTCAGAGTAGACTCCGACAAAATTGCAATTCAAAGATTTTATGACGGATTCTTAAAAAATCCAAATCTCTTTGGGGTTTCTTCTTTTGGCCTTTCAAAATTTAAAATCTGTTCCTCCTGTTTTCTCAGGTAACACTCTAATTCAAAGGTTATATTTCACAGGACTAATTGGTTGTTTTTTTAGATATTCCTATTGTTAATATTTTTTGATATTTACCCTAATTTCAATTTTTTCAATTAAATCAAAATGTTCCTTTTAAAACACAGGAAATATAATTTAAAAAAAATATAAAATTCCACAAAAAATATTCATTAATTTTATATTCACAATTAAAGCCTTCTATTTATTTATTTCCTCTTTATTAGTATCATTTTCCAAAAAGGTGAATCCTCTTGCTAAAAAATATAAAAAAAATAAAATTTTTGTTTGTTAGCTAATTGGTCTCGCTTTGCTTTTTTTAAAAAAAATTCCCTTCAATTTATTATTTCTTCAACAAAATTGAATGCTTATTGAATGCTCAACCCGCCCCTTTATTTTATTTAACTTCCCACGGGTTCTATTTCCTCTTCCCCCCCCCCCCTCCCCTCTTCCCCCCCCCCTCTTCCCCCTTAATACACACAAATTTGTAAAATGCCTGAATTTGTATTTAGAAACACGCAGCTTGGCATATCAAAATGAATAAAAAAAGTTTATCAATTTCACACACTTATTTTTTAAATAAATAAGTAATTTATTAATTTAAGTTGAAGAATATTAAATATTAAATTTTTTTATTTTTTATACAAATTTTATTCTTTTCAAAATTATTTTTGATTTTGAATTTTTATGTGAAAATTTCTAAATTTAAATTTTTTTCTATTAATTCCAATTAATTTAATTGAAATTTTAAAAGAAATTTTCTTTTCATTTATAGAAAAGAATGGAAATTTTGGTTTTAAAACTTTTCCTTCAAAAATCTAAAAAATTTACAAAAATGTCTAAAAATATTTCATAAAAATTTTTAATTTAATTTTTTACCTATCAAATACAGTCAAATCTCTTTAGAATGGCGCCCTCTCACCTTTCCTTTCCTTCAAATGTCAACCTAATTCTTAAAGAGATTCCACTATTATATAGCTCAGATTCCCTTAAATTTTACTAATAAAAATGTTTTACACAAATTTTTTATTTAATCAAATTTCCTTTAGTCAATCAAAATAAAAAGTTGTCTTCAATTCAATTTGTATTGTTTTCTCCTTTTCTCCCCTTTTCCTTTCTTTTACTCAATTTTTATTTGCCAAAAGTTAACAAAACAATAACTAAATAAAATCTTGTATATATTCTCCTCCTTTTTCTCCAAAAAATATTTTTTTTTAATAAAATATTCTTTTACTAATTCCGCTAATTTGTTCATTCCCCCTCTCCCCTCTCCCCTCAAGATTTCTTTTTCTGTTCAATAATTCATAATCTTTTACTTTAATATATTCGACCTCACATTGTTAACAATTTCGTGTCAATTTCTTGTTTAGTTTTATTTTTTCTTTTGTTTTAATTTTTTAAAGTTTTTGTTTTAAACAAAATTAGGTAGCTTAAAAAAATTTTTTTGAAATTTAATAAAAAGGTTTAATTATATTTATTAAGCAGAATATATAGAATAGAATAAATATAGAATATCTATAGAATAAAGTTGGGGTTCGAATCAAGTCTCAACCGATTCTTTAGTTCGTCTCTTGGCTTATTTATATCAATAAGCCTTCTCTAATAAAAGGAGGGGGATTTATTAAAGAATAGAATTTTAATTAAATTAATTTAAGAAAAACTAGAGAATTTAATTGTTGACTTTTTTAAAAACTAAGGAAAATTTAAATTAAAATAAAGTAAATTCCTCTTATTTTTCATTCCAAATTTCAACTAAATAAATTGCTTCTCATCTGCCAGATTTAAATAGGTCGAAGTAAATTGGGCAATTTGTGCCTATTCCCGCGGGATAGTCAGTAGACAACGTGACGGGGAGGGAAGGAACAAAAAAATAGGGGGATGATGCCAAACAGTAGAAAATCTTTTGCATTTGAGCTTTATAGAGGGGATAAAAAAAGAAATAAAAAAATAAAAAAAGGGGGGTTGAGGAATCAATGCAAAAAATGTTGAGGGAATGCTGATGAAGTAAAAAAAAATTTTTTTACGGAAATGCTTCGGAAATGCTTGTTTTCTCTTATAAAAATGTTCTTCTTCTCCTTTTTTAAATTTGACGTAATATTTTTTTTCGGAACTCTTCCTCTTAAAAATATGCCAGTCACTCTCTACTTCGTTCATTTTTCTGTTCGAATTTTTTACATAAATTTATTTTTCCTACCAAAGCAGCAATTTAGATAGTGCCAAAACATTCCATTTAAAAAAATTGGGAATTTTTTCCTTTGGCTTTATAAAATAGGTAAATGATTGGGGGATAAGTATCAAAAAATTTCCTTTAAAATGATTTACTAAAATTAAACGTTTCCAATACTTAATAATACAGTCGAACTTCATTAATTTGATTATATACTTGATTGAGGAGCTACTTTAGAGGATAACCTCAATTTAAGATCAAACATTTATGAGATACAGTTTTTTAAGCCTCGCAACTATATTTACATATAATTGTGTTAAAACTTTAGAGGATTTCTTATGAACATTCATCGGCTTATGTTTATGCCTTTCACATATATGATTTGCTCTTTGGCAATAAACTAGACAAAAAATAAGCAAAAAAACATTTTAAGAACAAATATTTATTCACATAAATCGGAAAAAATTTTTTCCCTTACAAACTTCCTCTAAACTTTTTCCTAAGGGAATAACAGACAAACGGAACTAACCAGAACCACCAACTTTTTGACGCCTTTCATTTTTCTTTTTTTTTTATTTTTCTAATCCGTTCTAACGTCATTTTTTGGAAGAATTTGAAAAATAGTCGAACTCTTAAATTAAGGTTACACTTTAATTTAAGAACGTTTTTAAGGCGACTTCTAAGCGATACTTAGGCGATAACTCTCTTATACCAAACTTGAATTAAAAGCTTAACCTTTTCAGTTTCTAGGATCTATTAAGTAGAGTTGCACGAGATCGATATCTCGACCGAGACCGAGACGAGAATCTCGGCCATTTTCCAATCTCGGTCTCGGTTTTGCCGAGACGAGACCATCTAACCGAGACGAGATTCTCGGCACTTAATCTCGCCGAGATCCGAGATCAGTATACACCCCTAAAGATTGACCTTCTTGAGATTTATTTTTATTTTGACAAAATATTTAAAATTTCGCTAACCCAACCCCAACCTTGAACACAAAGAAAAATCCAAAATTTGGGGCTTCAGTCCCCAATTGGCCGGCCAAATTCAATTTGGACAAGAATGTAATTTGGACGGTGACATATATACACCGTATTTCTTCTAATAGTGCGACTGTCTCTAATAGACCGACCCCTTCTAATAAACCGACCCCGTAGAGGAAGGTTGAAAAATAAACCGACTGCCTCTATCAGACCGACCCCTTCTAATAAACAAGGGTCCGTACATAAGTGTCCCCTACCCTTTATACTTAAGTCTTTCTGGAGAAATGGTGGAAAAAATTCTAGTTGTAAAGGCAAATATGGATAAACTGTTGCTTGGTCCACCAACTGAAATTGATTCTGATGAAACATATGATTTTGATGATAGATATTTAATTAATAGATGATATTTAATTAATTTAAATGGGTTTTGGTGGATAAAAAATGTTTTGAAAAATCTCGGTTTATCTCGGATCTCGATATCGGTCTCGGGTCAAATTTTGCATCTCGGTCTCGGTCTCGGTCATGCGAGTCTCGGTCAATCTCGGTCTCGGATTTATTCTAAAATCTCGATCTCGTGCAACTCTACTATTAAGTGCTATCTAACTTTAGTATTTCTTAATTAAAATGGTTAATATTCCGATGCTTAATCGCGATTCTGAATGGCTTAAACAAAGAATTGATGAATGGTCTAGTCAACCAGAAATGCAGAAACGATTGGTTTTAATTGTTGTTAGTGTGGCACTTCTTTTAGATAATATGCTTTACATGGTAGAAAATATAGTTTAAAATTTGATTAGAAATTTTGTAAAAAATCCAGGTTATTGTCCCAATTATTCCAAAATATTTGAGAGACATTCACGCTTATGAGGTAATTAATTAAATACTAAATATTTAAATTAAAGTATTCGCTCTCCCTTTTTAAATTTCCAATTTTTTTTAATAGGTAGAATATGTTGGTTATCACAATGAAACTAGAAGAGTAAGGAATATTTACAAGAAAAATCACAAAAATAAATTTTTTTCTTTAGTTAGCTAATGGTTCGATAGTTGTTAGAATGATTGGCGGGCAAATAGATTATTTGGATGAGGAAATAGAATTAGGATGGTTATTTGCAGCTAAAGCTTTGCTTCAAATCTTTGTTAATCCATTTTCTGGGTAACTTATTTTTGATACAGGAGAACCTTAGGAAAGGGGTTGAATAATAACGCATAAATTAAGGTATATCTAGTAGTAGAATGGGATGTAAATTATAATTAAGACCGACCTAGTTTAGGGTAAATCCTGTAGCTGGGTGGGGGGATCCCAAGATCCAACCATACATTTAGGATATTTTTTCAGCCCAAGGTTTTATTTTATAGTTTTATCCAAATCTAATTTAATTAAAAAGAATTTTTTCAGATTTATTATTGACCGTGTTGGATATGAATTGCCAATGATTATAGGCTTAATAGTAATGTTTTCATCAACAGCTATTTTTGCTTTGGGTAAAAGTTACGGTGTTCTTTTCTTCGCCCGTTCCCTTCAAGGGTTTGGTTCAGCTTTTGCTGATACTTCTGGTCTAGCAATGATTGCTGACAGATTTACTGAAGAGAGTGAACGTTCTGCAGCATTGGGTATTGCCCAGGCATTTATTTCTTTCGGAAGTTTGGTTGCCCCTCCTTTCGGTTCTGTACTTTATTCAATTGCTGGAAAACCTGTTCCCTTTCTTGTTCTTTCTTTGGTCTGTTTAACTGATGCTTTTATGGTATTTTGGGTTATACAACCAAAAGCGAGGGTTTCTAATGCCAGAAATCCTGAAACTGGTGAAAGACTACAAGGAACGCCTATGTGGAGGGTAATTATTTTTAAAAATTGTAGAGAGAAAAATAGAGCTTTTTCAAAAAAAATCAAAAATTTTGTTTTAGAAAAAGTTTTTTAAAAAATATTATTAAAAAATATTGTTTAAATTATTTTTAGTTATTTATGGACCCTTTCATTGCTGTCTGTTCAGGTGCTTTAATTATGGCAAATATTTCACTAGCATTTATTGAACCTACAATTACGAAGTAAAATTTTATTAAAAAAATATTTTATAAAATATAATTGTTTTTAATAGTTGGATGTATGAAGTTATGCCTAATACTCCAGATTGGCAAGTAAGTTAATCGAGATTTATCTAATAATTTTTATCAGAACTTTCGGTATTTTTTGGGTTCGACTTTCTTGGAAGGTTCCTTTTCCTATTTTACTCTCTAAAGACTGGTTTTAATGAACAAACTTTTTAAATAAAAAATCAAAATTTTCCTCCTCTGCAAATGTTTAATTAATTATATATTTTAAATTTTAATGAAAGGTTGGAATGATATGGTTTCCAGCGTTTTTTCCACACGTATTTGGTGTATATTTAACAGTTCGTCTATTAAAAAAATATCCACAAAAGAGTTGGCTATTTGCAACAATTGGTCTTTTAATGGAAGGTTTAAGTTGTTTAGCCGTTCCTTTCATGTCCAGTGCTTTCCAATTAATTATTCCTCTTTCAACAATTTGTTTTGGAATTGCTTTGATTGATACAAGTTTATTACCAATGTTAGGCTTTCTCGTGGATACTAGACACGTTTCTGTTTATGGTTCTGTATATGCTATTGCTGATATTTCTTATAGTTTGGCATATGCTTTTGGACCGATTATTGCTGGGGGAGTTGTTAATATACTTGGATTTGTTGTTTTAAATATTTTTATTTGGTTAGAGATTAATTTAATTTTAAAAATCAGTTTTAGTGAAGGGAGAAGAAATGGGGTTGTTTAGAAGTAAAATGTTGTTTCAAAGATTTCAAAAAAAAAATAATCCGATAAAAACTTAAAATTAAAAAATATATTTAAATTTAAAGTATTCTAAATGTTGGTTATTCTCCATTAATTGGAACTTTAAGAAAAGTTCATGGCTACGAAAATGTTTCTGGTAATAATGTTGTTGGTCAACAACAACCGAAAATAATGAATGGAAATATTATAGAAAATCAGGTAAAAATGCATATAAAAATTTGTGATATTAGTATGTTATCTTTACCCAGATTTTAATTAAATATTTTATAAAATTACTCTATTATCTAGCAGCTATTTCAGTTATAGATAAATCCCAACTTTTAAATTTAAATAAAAAATATGGTGGGAGGGGGCTGCCCATTTAAGATACAATTATTTCATTATCAACATTGCGAGTTTATTATCTAGTTAATTGGCACAAATACAATTATTTTTGTATAAACTTCCAAACACTGTCCACAAATATTTTGAATTAATTTTTAAAATAATTTTTTATTAGAAAGAAGAAATACAACAACATCCGTTGGACAGGACAGATTCTCAATGGATTGGAAAAGAAGATTTAAATGGATATCAACAACAAACAACTAATTTTGGTGGTAATCCTTCCAATGATGGATTTGACCCTTTAAATCCTCAATGGTGAAAATTTTCAAAAAAATTTTTATTTTCCCTTCGCTCATTTTGCAAAAAAAATTTTTGCAAAAATTTTTTTTATATTTTTAGAAATTATTTTTCTGAGATTTTTGTGCTTTCCCTTTTTAAATGTTTCCAATTTCCTTAATATTTTTCCCATATATTTTAACAATTAGAGAAAATTACTAAATTAAAAAATTAATTAAAATAATGGGAATAATTAATTTTAGAAAAAGAAAAAAATAAAATATTTTATATTTTTGTGTGAAAATATATTTTAAATTTTGAGTTGTATTAAATTTTTAAAAATTAGTAAATTACTCTCAATAGTTTCCTCGATTTTCGTCACTGCCTAAATTTTTAAAAGTGCGAATATTTTGAGAAAAAAGTTGAATTATTTCCCAAATTATTGACATCCTAGACATAGGATTAGAGATAAATTAACGATTACCAGTAGTTAAAATTTTTGAGAATAACATTACTAAGATTGGCTGGAAGTTAGCTTCAATAAATCGAAATAGGGGCATTTTTACTTGTTAAAATTAATTTTGTATACTCATAAACATTCTTTTTGGATCTTTTAATTATAAACAATGTTTTGGATTTTATAAAAATGTTTATTTAGTTTCTAATTTCCAAATTTTTATAAAGAATATATGTATTTATGTACATTAGACAAAAAAATTAATTTTATTAAAAAAACAAGTTAATTCTGAATCATTTATTTAAACTTATTTTATAAACATTTAGAGTATTCTCACTTTTTTAAAATTTGGGGGTTCTGTGCCAATGTCGAAATTAAATAACCTCCTTTTATTACAGATATTTTTTCTTTAAATTACCCAAAAAATTTATTTAAATTTAATTTTAAATATTTATTTATTTTAGTAATTCCTTCCTCTTCCTTTTTTTATTCAATTTTATATGTCATTCCTTACTTTTTTCAAATTTTTATTATTAAATTTGCATAGTGAAATTTATTTAAAAAAAATTCTTCTTAAATTTTGTTTTCCAATGACCATCAAAGGAATATTTTAAATAAAAATATTTTTATTTTAAATAATTAATTTTAAAATATTTTTTTCTTATTTTTTAGCTTTTCAGTTGTCTTTTAATTCATTTAGTCTTTAACTCTCTCTAATTAATATAAAATTTTATCAAAATAATTCTTAAATTAATTTTATAAGATACAAACTTGGGTGCAAAAAATAATGAAGGGTTTAGTGGGGCGGCGGAGGGGGGGGGGGGTGATATTGCTTACACCATAAATTAAATTTCAAAATTAAATGGGTCTGTCCAAAATTGAAAGTATCTTATAGTTACCAGATTTGACTGTTATAAAAATATTTTTTATTTAAAATTTTCTTTAAAAATATTTTTAATTGCCTTTTATTGTTCTCGAAAATAAAATGTTTTTTGAAAAAAATTTTTTTAAACTAAAAATAGTAAATAAATAAATTGTTTAAAAGCAATTTAAATATTTTTTTAAATTTATTATTTAATTTTAAATAAAATTAAAATAAAAATAGAATTTTTTAATGGAAACAACAACAATTATTAACAATAATATATTAATTAATAATTTAAAAGAAATTCAGAAGGAAAATAAAAAGTTGGTGGAGAAAATTGATGGGTGGAATCAGGTTAGAGTAAATTAAGTTATTTTAAAAAAACTGAAATATTTCCTTAATAAAACCTCCAATATTATTTTAGACATTAGTGGAGTATTTACGTATTCTCTTCAGTTTAATTAATCTAAATAAAAAATTAAAATAAATACCAGTTGGTTGGTTAAAAAATTAGAAACCTCATGGAATAAAGGTTTCTAATCCTCCTGGAATAAATAAAAATATTTTTTATCTTTTAAGTAATTCCATCCAATCTTTTTATCATTATTAAATAAAAATAAATAATTATTTTTAAATTTATTTTCTTTTTTTTAAAGTATTTACTCCTTAAACCGCCAATTCCTGATTTAAAACACACATTAACTCGTTATTTGGAATATTCTTCTGTTTTGGCACAAACATATAAATTAGATTTTGATAAAACAATTGAAAATGTTAAAAAATTTGAAGAAACAATTGGACCAAGATTGCAACAAAAATTAAAAGAAATTTCTTTTAAAGAAGATAATTGGGTTAATTAATTAATTATATAATTAGAATTCCTGTTATGTCCTTGACTGCAGTGTGTCCGAGAGAGGAATATCAGAATAAAGACTTTATCACAACAACTATACAGAATAGTAACGAACAATAGGAATACGATGTATATGTGGAGCACTAGAATAAGACAATAAAATAACAACTAACAGAATAACACACGGAATAACACTAACACACTAAGCACATACCCAATAATTTTTTGCTATAAGGTGCACCCTTTGGAGACTAAAAAATTTCAAATTTAGTTATACCATACATATAATGAGTTAAACTTTAATTTAAAATTTAAAAACAATTTAAGATAAATCAATTTTGGCTTAAAGAAATGTATCTTAAACAAAGACTTCCTCTTCCAATAAATTTTAATCCTGCTTATATTTTTCCTCATCTTGAATTTAAAAATGAACAAGAACAAATAAAGTATTGAATAAATTAATTAAATTAAATTAATTAAATTATATTTTAAAAGTTATGCATCATTATTAATTAAAGGATTTTTGGATTTTAGAGAAAAGGTGGAAAGAAAAAAAATTCCTTTAGAAACTGTTCCGGATAGATTTATTGGTGGGAAATCTGTCCCCATGTGTATGGACCAATATGGTAATTAATTAAAGTAAAAACAAATTAACGGGGTTGAACAGAGGTATCAAGATTTTAAACTGTATCTCGTCTCGGTAAAACTTCAATAAAAGGCTTAATAAGAGAAAAATTTTGAGTGATTCCTGTGGATTAATAATTATTTTTAAGACTAAGATAAACCACTCATTGACAAATTCACAATTATTTGTATCTCACTTAAAATTAGAGTTGAAACCCGAACCGGATCCCGTGGTCATTTTTATTATGATAGAAATCGGGATTTAATCCCAAAAATCCGGTCCGGATAAAAAAATTTTTTTAATCCGAAACGGGATCCGACATTTTTCAAATTTTAACTCTACTTAAAATAAAATTTTGGCATGAACAATTTAAATTAAGTATATTTTAATCTCTTTAACAGCTTCCCATTGTTAACCAAATTTTAGAAACATGTCTTAACCTGACAATATTCTGTTACCTAAAATTAATTTATAATAAATTCATTTATTTTTTAAGAAAGAATATTTAATTTCTACAGACAACCATCATTTAATGAAGATATTTTATTTGATAAAAGAAGAATAAATAAAAAACAATTAATTGAACATATATTAATTTTATATAAAAATCAACAATTTATTTTATTTATTAAAACAATTGAAGGAATTTTAATTAATTTAATTCAAATAATTGAACAATTGAGGAAAATAATGGAAATGGCTAAAAATAGAAATATTCAAAATATAATACCTATTGGGGGTGCTGGAACTGGGGGAAGGGATAGAGCTGCTAAATTTTGGGAAGAAATGAATAATGGTATTTTTGAAAGGAGAGGGGGGGTTAGAAATCAAGAGAAAATTGGATTTTTGGGCGATTTAACTCTTGGCTATTAATCGTTAAATCGCCTATTAGCATATTAACCATGTTCTTCATTTGACTCTGAATTTATGGTCTCTGGTTATAAGGGGAAATTTTTTGTGCCGTGTGTTTTAAATTTTTGAGTATTACAGAACATTATTTTTTATTTTTCGGAAATTTTTTACGTATCCCGATTCTCTCTGCTTCAGATACTCGAGAGAGACTATTCTATATCATACCTACCTCTCGAACGTTCGGAGTCTAACCCAAGCTTAATTTAGATCAAACAAATCAAAATTCACTTGAATTAGCACGTTCTTCAATTTTTGTTTTATGTCTGGATGATGAAAATATTGAGAATATTGATAATAATTTAAATCAAATGGAAATTGATGGAATGCAAATACTTTATGGATTTGGGCCTAAATATAATGGACTTAATAGATGGTTTGATTCAACTATTCAAGTAAATATATCTAAGACGGACCTCATTTGTTGGCTACACCCAAAACTAGATTTGTATCTCAATTTAAGATAAACTTGTTTAGCAATCGGGGGCGATACTCCCTCCTTATTTAAAGTATTCATTATATGATATACTAAATTGTTCGTAACCCTAAGGGCGTATCTCATAACGAAGTCCGACTTAATTTAGCAAATATAAGAGAAAATTTTAAAAAAAGTTAATTGTATCTAAAAATGGATGTTGTGGAACTTGTATAGAACATTCTATTGCTGAAGGAATTGTGCATATTAAAATGACTGAAGAAGCTATGAGATATGCTAATAATAATTTTGATTTATTAAATGTAAAATTTTTATAAGATTTTTTTGCAAAAAAATTATTTTAGAAAAAACAAAAAGAACAAAAATGTAAAAATAATTTAACAATAATCGAGCCAAAACCCCTAAGTTGGGTAGTCAGTGAAAAGGCTAATTTACTACTTGGAGAGCAAATTGTTGAATTTGAACAGTTAAGTTATTTAAAAATTAGAATATTTATTAGTCGGACCTCAACTCTCGATAGACTTGGAAAAATTAAACTAAGAGGTACCTTAAATAAGGGAGTATAACTTTAACAGATACCCCACTTAGTGGCCAAACAGAATTTTAACGAATATATCTTAAATTGAGGTTATTAAGCATATGGTTATTTTGTAATGAGGTCCGACTGTCAAAAGGCTCATCTAAAATTTCTTTTTTAGATTAACTAATAATCTTCAATTAAATTTATTACAATTCAATGAGTTTGGGAAAGATTCAATAAAAGGTTGGGGTGTTAGTCCAGATGGGTTTATGCAGTTATGTATGCAATTAGCACATTTTAGGTTTTTCTTTAAAAATACACCTAATTAATTCAATTAATTTAAAAAAACTAGATTACATGGTTATTTAGTAAATAGCTATGAATCTGCTACAATGAGAAGATTTAGGTATGGGAGAGTTGATAATATACGTGCAGCAACACCTGAAGCTTTAAATTGGGTAAAATCAATGAATAATCCAAATGAAGAAAAAGTTTTTTAAATAAAATTTTAATTTAAAAAATATTTTACAGAAAAGGAAAAGAATTTTACTTAAAATGGCTTTTGATAAACAATCATTAATTACTAAAGAGGTAAATAAATATTTTGAAAATAATCTCAAAAAATATCCCGATATTATCGTTTCGTGCCACACTGTTAAAATAAATATAGAATATTTTAAATTCCAAAATAATAAATTCTAATAAAAAGAAGCTCGTAGTAATTTAGGTGAGGATTAAATTTTTAGTTAATTGTAATAATAAAATATATGACGAGGGTTGTTAATCTAGAATTGTTATTTACGTAGTTTCCACTTTTTAAAAATAATAAAAAAATATTTATTTAGAATTTAATTGGCAATGGAATTGATAATCATTTGTGTGCATTAGAAGTTTTAAGTCGCGAAGAATTTGGTTCTGAAAATTTCCCAGAAATATTTCAGGATGAAATGTGGAAGGAAATGATGCGTTTTCCTTTATCTACTAGCCAAGTTTGGGAAAATAAAAATAATTTAAATTTTATTTTTTAAAGGTCAGTACTTCTCCAGAATTTATTAATTGTTATCTTTATTATGGCCCTGTAGTTGATGATGGATATGGATGTGCTTATAATATACAACCAAATTCTTTAATGTAAATTAGTATTTAAATTCAGAATTTACTATAAGATAAGCCAAACAAAATTTAATAAAAGTTTTTAAATCGGCCACTGGGGGTAGACTTAATCAATCCCCTCTATTTAAAGAGATATCTAGACTTGTCTGTATTTTTATTATACATATAAAAAAATATTTAAAATAAATATAGTTTTGCAATTTCAACATGGAAATCAAATAAAAGAACAAATGGAGAATCTTTTAAATTAAAATTAATTGAATCTCTTAAGGAAATAAAAGAATTACTTGAATTTAATGAAAATTAAATTAAAAAATAATTATTTCTTCTAAACATTTTTTTATTTTATATTCAATTTTATATTCGAAATTACTAAAAATTGGATCGAGCCTGAGAATTTGAGCAAAAATTTCTGTTCTCGATTGAAACTTGAGTTCGGTCCTTATTAATTACTCTCACAATGAAAAAAATTAAATTACTACCCGCCAGGGATGTGCGCCAGAATTTTCGCGTGGCGCGCCAAACGCCAAACGCCAATTTTTCAAATTTTCAAATCACGCCAAACGCCAGAACGCCAAAATCGGCAAAAAACGACGCCAAAACGCCAAACGCCAAAACGCCAAAAATTTTATTCAACTAAGGCCCGAAAAACAAGTGTTTATCTCTTTTTAGCGCCGCAGGCGAAAATTTTTAAATTTTCACGACTTCCAGAAGCCAAAATTCATCCTTTTTTTAGCGCCTACACCCAAAATTATGGAAATTTGTTAAGAACAAGAGCACAAATCCTACTTTTTCTAAAAAATTGCAAGAAAAATGGAAAAATCACAACCCCAGAATTGTAGAATATCGAAGGGTTTAGATGTCCAGATATCCTCTTTAACCTCCCGAAGTAAGGGGCTTAGAAAGGATTAAGGAGGCATTAGTGGACTTTGGTATATTAATAGGATTTGATGGATATTGGAGGATTGAAGAAAAGTGCATTAAGTTCTATTAGTGCCACAGGCGAAAATTTTGTGATTTTTTGAAAGCTAATAAGTAGATTTCTTCCTTTTTGTGCGCCGCAGGCGAAAATTTTGAAAATTTTGGAAGGCTGTGGGCAAAAAAATTTCATTTTTTTGAAAACACTTCCCCCATATATTTGGAAAATTCCCATCATTAGGGGTGTATAATTTTGGCGTTTTGGCGCGCCAAAAACTGAAAATCACGCCAAACGCCAGCACGCCAAAATCGGCCAAAAATCACGCCAAAACGCCAAAACGTCACGCCAAAACGCCATGACGCACATCCCTGCTACCCGCATTAAGTAAAAAGCAATTAATTATTCTTACAAATTTAACTAAAATTTTTATTTTTACGCCCCTTCTCAAATATCTAAAGGGGTATAACAAATATATTTTTTTTATCCACTTTCAAGAAAGAAAATTGAATATAAAATAGGGTAACTACTGTGTATATATATTTTGTATATATTTTCTAGTCAATTTTACAAACTTGCAATATTTTATTTTTAATCAGAATTTAAATAAACAAATATTACTTTACTTTTAAAAATAGTTAAAATATTAAACAAAGAAACTGGTCTTAAGGTCTTAAATTCTTTAAAATTACTCTATTAAAGATGTTTTGGAAGCTTTCTTAGTTTCAAAAAAAAATATTTTTAAAAATATTCTGTAAGTTCCGGCAATTTCACATTTTTACATTGAAGACAAAGATCAATTAGAGGTTCAGGCATTACCTTTTCAAAACGCCCGCGATCTAATACATAAACCAAATAATTGAAAAAATCGCTTATATTTTTTCCAGCTTTGAAGCAAAATTCGATTAAATGGAGCAATTCAGTGTACCTTCTAGCACCTGGTAGTGGACCATAACGATTCTAAGTTTAATAGATAAACAAATGGATCTAGATTTTAAGTACACCCTTGGGGGTAAAAAATCAAAACTTATAATGTTTATGTAGCCCGCCCATTGATAAATAAATAAATATATCGGCGTCCAAATTAAATTTTACCGGCCAAAATGAATTTCTTCTTTATTTCCCAGTTCTTTGTTCGAAACCTACACCCTGTCATCAGTTAATTTACCCATATAAAATTTGAACAAACATACAGTTAAAATTAACCCATCCTTAAAATATACCTGTAACATTTTCATTAATATTTTAGAATATTTTTCAGCCTCAGAAAGTAAAATTTTTTGTCCTTTTTTACTAACACCATTCGTAACAAAATGTGAATACATGATGGAACGAAGAAGTAAATATTCCTCATCATCTAATTGGACTCGATAGAAAGGTTCCATATTTGTTATAAATAATTTTTGGAGTAAATTATTTAATCTTTAAAAAGCAAGAAAATATTTTTTATTAAATATTTTGGCATTAATGTTGACTTAAAGGGGGTTTGAGGTATTTGAAGAAATGATATAACAAATAAATTTGTAAAAGCTCCTCAGTCTATAGTAATACCAATAATTTTTAATTTTACGTTATATCCCCTTTATAATATTCTCCAGCGAAAACTGCAACTACAGGTACTCCATCTGGTGATATGACTGCTCTTGACCATTTTTTATAGGAATAGTAAACGCCTGTTAAAGCTGAAAGAGGAATATTTGTGAGTTGATATATCTAAAAAATATTATTTTAGCTTAAATGCACCCAAATATGTTTTTGTTTTTTGTTTATAACACTTTTAGTTTTTAGAACAGCCGATTACTGGGTATGCGAAAGTTTGTTAGGTTATTAGTTTAAATTAGGGTAGCTCCCAAAAACCCGCCAGAAAATAAACTTCAAAACTGGCAAAAATCTAAACATGTCCAACATTATAGTTTTTATTTAAATAAATTAGAATATTTACAAGATCGTTTAATTCCAATTTATAAAAGAAAGGTTCTTGCTACATCAATAATTAACATTAGATCTTCAATTAATGAAATAGGTCGCAAAACAAAAGGACCATTTTTGTGAATAAATTCAAAATAATCTGGTTTTGGAAAGGATTTTTCTTCGTCCTTTAAAAAATTTGCTGTTTATTTTAAGGGCTGTCCAGATCTATATCCGGTACTTTTTTTGTTTTTTTAGATTGACTGGGGTGAATCGAGAGCTAAAAAGAAAATCTAGCTTCTTGGCCTTCCAAAATTCTCAAAATCTTCACCAGACCGAATCTTTCAGTCCCAAATGTCAGGTGGCACCCCTAGTAAGCAATTAAATCCGGGGTCATTTTTAGTTTATTTATAAATATTTAGAAACAAACAAACCAAATATTCATGACTTAAAAAAATTAAATTTTCTTTTCGATTAAATATTTCATTTAATGTTTTGTAAGAAAAATCATAATGTTTATCAGTTATTTGTGTAGGCGAATTTCTAATTCTTCGAACATTTTTCTCCAATAATAATAAATTTTCAATTATTTTAGTCTCTTCATTTTCAATTAATATTTGTTGCTTTGAAAAAAAAATTTTTTATAGAATTTTTAATTTTTAACCCTTTATAAAATAGTTTTATCACACTAGCCCTGGTGACCCCTGGGAACAAGGGGTTGGATGTGTTAGTCGAAACCCTGACGTCCCGAAACCCAACTTGAATAATTTCAAAAACCTGACTCGACTCTTTTTTCAGTCTATCCCATTCCTGTTGGGAACTAGAGGCATATACAAATGATTTTTTCAGCCTTCGCCTGAAAACTTGGAGGTATCGCTTAGATCCCCTCCCCATTTGCCAATCAAAGTTAAAAGAAATGTTTACCATAAATGAAAAATTAATTTCTTCAGTATTATTAGATCTTTTTTTAACACAATATTTCCCTTTTAAAGCAAGTTCACCCAAACGTTGTTCAATTACTGAGCGTAGTTCCCATATAGATTTACTTTGTTGGGAGTTTTGTAATCTTTTTATATTCATTCCCGATAAAAGACATTTATCAAAACGGCAACTTTTGCATTTTTTAGGAACTTTTTTAAAAATAATTATTTATTAATTTGAGAATTATGAGAAAGAATATTACAGTAAATGCTTGAATAGATGAGAAGGGGGAGGGGTAATTATTTGAGGTGGATATTTTTTATTATTCTAAAAGTGGAGTAAGATTACTCAATTTCCTCCTATTAACTTTTCAAAAAATTTTTGTATGAAAATCTAGACCGACATATAATTTTAGAATGCAATATACCTATGTACAATGTAAAATAAATTAATTAGTATTTTGGAAATTAAAAAGGTTTAAAAATAAAAATTAAGAAAAAAAAGTTCAATTTTTTGATAAAGTCAAACACTATCTTCAAAATTAAATACTAATCAAGATACATTTTTTAAAAATTTGTAAAAACAATTTTTTCTTCCTTTGGCCGACTTGGAATTTAATGACAATTTTAAAAATATTTTTTTTTGAAAATAAAAGATTCAATTAAATATTCTTTTGTATCCAACAACTATCTGAACTTTTTAACTGTTCAAGACTCTTTAAGAAAGATTTTTCTTATTTGATGGAGTCGTCTTGGTCTCGCCATTTTTGATGTTTTATTAAAAAAATCCTCATTACTTTTGTTTGGTTTCGAGCTAGCAAATTGCCCACCATTGTTTATAATTGCATTCCCTTTAATAATAATTGTTTTGCTTTTTGTTAAAGGAGAATAACTTGTTTTTTTCGTTTATTTCCTTTTTTATAAGCCAGTAGGAAGTAAAAATTTTATTTTATTTAAAGATTTTTTTGTCGATTTTTGGGCATTTTTATGGTCATTTAATGGCAATTTTTGGTTATTTTTGAAAAATTTTAAAAAGTTTTTTTTTAAATTGCCTATTTTTAGTTATCTAAAATTAAAAAAAATATTTTATAGTTTAGGATTGAAAGAAATTTGTTTGTTTTTAAATTTAAAAATTTTCTAGATATTTTATTTAATTTTCATTAATTTTATTCATTAAAAAAATTCTTAAAATAATGTTGAAATCTGCTGGAAATAATTCGGAAAATGAAGAAAATAATTATGATAAAGACGAAATTGAAGAAGAATGTTTTGTTATAT